GAGATAATAATTAACAATAACTAATAATAATAATTATAATTTACCTTATTCCAAAAACAGTACTTATAATACAGAATGGAATTCTCAGTATTTGTCACAATATTGCATCTGATTTACTCAAAATATAAATAAAATTAAAACAAAATTAATCGGAGGAATTTGTTCACATTTACGACATATTTATTAGATATAATAATAACAGTGAGTTTGTTTCAAACGGTATTGTCGATTCAATTTGGAAACTTCAGTATGTTATAGATTATTCGGTCTAATGTTCTGTTGATATAGTATGGTGAGGGGAAATACAAAATTAACAATCATAATACAGCTTAAATGATTTTCACACTTATAAAAAAATAAACAAATAAAAAAACAAAAAATTGAGAGGATTATAAATATAAGAAATACAATAACAATAAAGTTTGTTGCATTAAGGGTGGAGGAAATGGTTTATTTAGTGGTGCTAAGGAGGTTAGTTAGTTCATTTCTGACACTATTTTCATCACATAGAGTACGTGCTAAATATGGTATAGTGGAATTTTATACTTAGACGTACGTGCATAAAATCTTATGAAAAGACTTCTTGTTTTACCTGAGGAGACACAAGGTTGGAGCTGCGGGTAGAGAGGGTGCTCAGAGTCTGACAAAATTCCTTTAGCGAATTTGTTGCATGACATCAAATGCCTATCAGTGACAATGTCAACGATATGGCCCAATGGGATACCACTCGTCCTAATGACAGTCTTCAGAGTTCTACGAAGTATGACATAGTCTTTTTTAAGCAATAATAATCAATAATAGTGCGTTAACAAACTCCATTGTGCAATTACAAAACTCCGAAAGTGAAACATGTACTACTAAAATGAGCTAAATTGATATTTCACAATGAATAAAATTACTTTTCTGTCCTAAAATGTTTAATAAACAGATATAAGAAATGTAAAATGTTTAAAACGGTCATTCACTGCATTTATGTAAACAAATGTTCAAAAATAAAATGTTGAACAACTCTCAAAATGATTGAGGTTAAGGCTATGTATAAGTGACCCTTAATAAAACCTTAAACATCAGTCAACTGTCAGAACAGACGCATTTTATTCATAATTTGTAATATAATATATTAAACTTGATATTTACAAGTACGCCCAGAATAGTGTCAAATCATTAAGACTGTTTTTAAGAAACTTCGGTGGCACAGTGGTTAGGACTCTCGCCAACCATGCACATGGTCCGGGGTTTGATCCCCTGCCGGCGCACACCTGATATCTATGAATTTGGGCTACCGATATCCATGCTGAAGATTCCACACTTGTACTGAAAATACGGTGTGGAATCAAGCTGTAAATCAAAATAAAAAATAAAAAAATAAATAAAATAAAGTGACTCTTCAGATTTTGGGTGTGCGTAGTTTCTGAATGATCGCAATACAGATTTCGCCACATACAAATTCCCCATGGGAGACGTATTCTGTGCCAGGTTGGAGCTGTCCGATAGTGTGCACCCAAAACCTCCATCGGGAATCGATTCTGGACCCTTCAGTTTACCTGGCAAGCTCATCGATGACGGTTGGAGGTGTCACTATATTGCTAGGAAACAAAAGTTAGAATTCAAAGGCCAGTGGCTGAATGATCAACAGGCTCAGTTTGTAACGTGCAGTTCCAGGGCTCGATTCACCGTAGGATTCTTATTAAGCACCTCTAAAGGTTCTCTAGCCACTCAGTACCACTTTGTTTTCACTGTTTCTGCAAATGATTTCGATTTGTGAAAAAGTCTACTTTGAAATTCAGCGACTCTGTTGAACAAATCGAATTTTAATGAAAAAACTGAAAAAAACTCCTCAGCGACGAACGTCAACTAAGGATGAAACAATTCGAACAATCCAAAGTAATTTAATTTAATTTTAGATTTTCCCGTTGATTGATTGGACCGTAGTGCTCGGTCTCAGATTGATATGTCGGCATCTTGTCAAGATGTTTCGACGATGACTAGGCACGTAATTAGTATCTAATTGGTGTATGGTGACTAGCAGTGGAATCCAGGATGCGCATTTCGGCCTATTTGAATTAAATAATTTAGATGACCCGTTGCACAAGAGGTGCCTCTCGTGACCCAAGTGATCTAGTGGATAACGCTTTGGCGTTTGAAACTATGAGCACTGGGTTCAAGCCTCGGTGGGAACATCATCACTCACTGCGGAATGCAGGCACATCCAGATAGAGAGTTCCAAACGGGGCGAAATGTGCATCCTGGATTCCACTGCTAGTCACCATCCACCAATTAAATTATAATCCAAAGTAAAGACAGTTATGTTAAATTATGGCGTGTACTAAAAGATTTCAGAAGTTGTGTATTGTGTGCAAGAATGCTGAATAGAGGGGCGACAGATTAATTTCCGCAGAAAAAGAATGAGAAGATTCTTGTGTTAAACAATATACAGAAATCATGAAACGAAGACAATAAGAAGCACAAAATGAAGAACATGTGCAGAACATGGAGATTTGAATGTGAGATTTATGCATTTTGCCATAACTGTGAATCATTTTGTGAAACAAATAGTCTACTTCCAAATACTTCTATGTTCTGCTGTCACAACGACACTATAAACTACATGATATGGCACAATGTTTGAGGCTGATTCCGGTTATCTTAATACAACCGAGTTCTAAATGTTTTTGATACTAAATATTGTAGAAGGGAATTTATAATTTCAAGGAAATTCTCGAAAATTCACCGAATATCATCAACTCAGTGCTTGCGGCTAGATTGAAGAGACGTCAGTATCAGATAGCCGTTACCCTCGTTTGAGACTGAGCTTATTAGCCATGTGCAAGGTTCGAACTGAGTCAGCTCAGAAAGCCGAATCAGGTGAAATCAAAAGAGTTTTGGGTTAGCTACTTAGTTTAACTTGTAATACGTTAAATCAAACCCCATAATTTTCAAATTAATTCGCGATTTGCAAGTTAAAACACAGTTCAAGGGGAAATTTCACCACAGTTTCCTTTGAATGAAATAAACTGGTATCTTCTAAGATAATATATTTTTACTGCAGTTTTCATAAATTAACTCTGCGAAAACTACTATAGAATAAGGAAACAAGCTTTTTTGTAGAATTTTGATTGATTAAATTGGATCGAGACGTTTAGGCTCTGTTGAAACTTAGGTTCATAGTACAGACGCCCCAACGATATCAGAGGATTAACACAATGCTCTCTGATGGATGGTGACTAGCGGTGACTGACGGACAGAAAATGTGCATATCGGTTCAAAATAGTCAATCAAGATAAACTAATTGTAATTGAAACTTGTGGCACAAAAGGTGACTTTTCCAGCCCACGTGGCTTAGTTGGTAACACTTCGTCATTTGTAACGATGGGTCCTGGATACAAGTCTTAATAGCAACAGCATAAATCACTGGGGACTGTAGGTACATCAAGTTGATGAACCCAAAATAAGACGAAATGAACATCCTGTACTCCTTGTTAGCCACTAAACACCACACGAAACAATAATCCTATTTACTTTTCCACCACCATAGTAGCATTCAACTGGTTGAAGTTCAATAATGAATCATTTTTGCCTCGTTGTACTTTTAGAATTATCGGGAAATATTGCAGAGAAACGAAAGGTTTTCGAAAATGTGATGTCCTTCAAACGTTGTTTTCAGTTTTTTATTCATATTACGCTTAATACAGGAATGAATTAGGAAAAGCTGATGTTGGTATTGTACTCCTATCCGAATCATTATCACAAAGAATGAAGGTGTCATCCATATACCGGCAATAAAATGAGAACTTGCTGATAAGGTTGTTCAAAGTTCCATTTTCTAGCTTACTTAGAAAGAAATCAGCCAAAATGGGACCCAATGGGCGATATACCAAATGAGATAATTATGAAGAAATTAAGAAAATCAATCCAAAGAACTTTTAATGCTGGCGAACTACACGTCTTATTCTCTACACGACCGATGGCGCTACCTCGACTAAAAGATGAAGTACCTAGACTAGCCACTTCAAATTGTATCTATCAATTCAACTGCGCTTGTGGTGGAGCGATTTGTATCGGCAGTTGCTCTAGGAACTTGATTTTTCGTGCTTGATGACATTTCCCACTATGGCTAAGTAAAGGTGTAGTTAAAACTATTAACAGCTCGATATTAGACCATCTGGTGCAAACCGGTCACAAAGCCCGCGTGGAAGAATCCTTCTCTATAATCTACCGGGTGCCTAATAAATTACTAAAATCACCATCGAAGCACTGCATGCTCCAAACAGCAGAGGCTATTGCAATTCGCCTAAAACAACCAGTGCTCTGTGTTCAGAAGAAGCAAGTCCAACCCCTGGCCTTCAGTAGAGACTACAAAATTCATGAATTTGTACTATTGCCTTTCCTAATTTTGCTGATATTCAGTTTATTTTATATTAATGCTACTGAGCTGTTATCTATTGATATTATTGATTCGATGTTACTTAAACATTAATGTTGTTCATAACACTAATTCATTCATTCACTATAATGTGTATATAACTGTAGAGCTTGATGATGAAGTTATCGAAAGGAGTATTCTTTATAAGTTTCCAGACCGTAGGTGCTACGGACTTCCTGGAATAATTTGAGCGCCGAGTCAGCTTGATTCAATATAGAAGCTATGGCTTACATAGCGAAACGTTCAAAATAATCTTGTTTTGATTTTCTTAACACGCTGGGATTAATGTAAATAATTTATGATGGAGTATCTATTCTTTTGAAAAAATAAATCTGTCAGTGTTTTTAAAGTGTTTAGAGGCGGGAAAGTGTTACAAACGGATTTCTTCCAATAGCTAATTTAACTCCACCCATCCCATGACAACAAGAGTCATGGATGTGCCGATTAGCCAATTGTTTTCAAATTATTAATTGCAGCGTCTTTTGTAATCAACCTCACTGGTCAGAATTTAGTTCGAGATTACCAACTGATCTGGCAAACAACTTGTGTTAAAAACTGAAAAGTAAAAATTTGAGAATATAACAGCTAATTAGGTTATATTTTCATAGTGCTACAGAAAAGAGCTGGGAAATTAAACGATAACAAACACATCAGCCAAGTTAAGATGTTTCATATCCCAAAACATTTTCAAGAATCTTTGATATATAATCCATACGTTTGTCAATGCGTTTACACACTAAAATGAAATAAATGTACATGTTAAACACGTTTGTCAGTGTGAACAGTAAGTACTTACCGATTTTAGCGATTTCCATTAATTTCAAGTCCAAGTCTTCTTTCATCATGTATTTATCCAATGTTTTATAAATCTTTTTTCGTCCCTTCTTTAAAGTCTTTTTTATAAGCTTGTACACTGGTTTCTTTAGTGAGGCAATTGATTTTTTTGTTGTTGAGAAATAAAGGTACTTACAATTCCACGTTTTGGTTTCTTCTCCTCTTCATCTTCATCGTCATCATCATCGTCGTCATCGCCTTCGGCATCTTCACCCTCTTCATCTCCTTCTTTGCCATCTTCTCCCTTTTTCCCTTTCTTATCCTCTTTCTCTTTTTTGTCTCCTTTCTCCTTTTTCTTCTCTTCCTTCTCCTCTTCGCCTACCTTAACCTCCTTGTCGAGCTTTTCTACATTTCCAGTGATATTATGCTGTTTTTCTTCTTTAATACTATCATTCCTGAAATAAAAGAAGTTTAAACAGTCAAAGGTGAATTCAGGTTGACGGCATTTATCCATAAAATCAGTAGTATGGATCACGTTTACTGACTAATGACAGATTTTGTGTTACTTTTACGGAATTTACCCTTCATCTATAAGAAAATCATTAATCGTATACTTAAATAAAAAAAGTCCAATATAGAAAGAGTTGGTTTATAAGTTTTTTATGAACTGTCAAATGTAAGCTAAACGAGTGGATATACAATCATTTTGTAAAGACTAGAAGTGTTTTCTACTACCCATTAAAGCATAGAATTGTGAGAGAATAACAAAAATATAGTCTGACGTCGATTGTTTGTTAATGGCTAAGAGAAGAGTCTAGGAGGCACATTCTCTCCTGTTTTTGACTTATCAGATAGACGTACTTCTTCCCCAATGAAACCCAAATCCAGCGCTCATCAATTTCGTTCGCTAAAGAGTTATCCACAAAGACACTGGGCTCTAAAAGTCACCTTCTATGCAAAGGGGTGTGATTCAGAGTTATTCATTCAAGTTTGTGACTTCTCGTTGATATATCTGACCGAGTTGATCAGTCTTATTGAATAGATGCCTTGATATTACCAGGATTAACAACTCGAAGATACTTTTCTGCCGGTGGTTGGTAGTCTGTTGTTTCTTTTGTGGGAAACAGATATAGAATGAATATCTGCGATTTGCAGAGTACATACTCCAAGATTAAAACAAAAATCACCCCCGTTTGCTTTATAAAGCATAAACACTGATCGATAAAACAAGCGAAATTGCATGGTAGTATATACTACTCACTGGTTGTTATTAGACGTTAGGAACAAGATTGGTCACTAAATGATCTGAGACAGACAACAACTGAAAGCCACTAGGGAGTGCCGAACAACTGTTTCGTCCTTGCTTGAGACTCCTTACAGGTGTACACCCATCACCCTACCAACCGGGGATCGATTCCAGAACCTCCAGATTACAAGGAGAGCTTGGTGACCACTCAGCCAATGGGATGGAATCCCACTGCTCATGAATCCTAACTCCTAGTTTGCTATATATAGCACTCCAACGCCAACCAATGTTATTGGCCAGTGTTTATCTTTACAGCCATGTCCTGATGAACACCACTGGCAATGACTTCCTAATGGAAAATCAGGTAGCTAATCAAACCACTGACTGCTAAATAAATTTTCAAGTGTTGATTTGCAAGGATTTTTTCTGATTGTTTTCCAGATTGATCAAATGCTGACTTCAGTTAGAGAACTACTGAAAATCAGAAGGTAATAAACAGTTATTTCGTCCTTGTTCGTGACTCTTTAGCAGTAAGTACTTGTGTCCATAGTAGGAATGAGACTCACTCACACATGAACCAGAAGTGCTTGCTACCCATTTATTTATAAGTTATCCTAACAAAGTCTATCAGCAGCCTAGTCCGATAGAAAAGTTAAACAGTTTCTCTCTTCGTTCAACCATTATCGTACTCTTTCCAAGAGATGATATTTACCATGTCAAGTAACCAGCACAGAGTGAAGCATTCTGTTGCCTGAGGTATTTTCAACATTGCTTCCTTCATAAGCTTTGAACATCAAGATAGGGTTAAAAACGTAGATTGTGAATACTCATTGTATAGAAAAAACAACAGAAAAATCAAAACTGTATTAACTCACTTAAATTGTAGAGCAGAAATTACGAGAAAGGATACTAGAAATAACAAAATAGCTGGTTTCATATTATCTCATAAAGATTATGAAATAAAATGATAAAATTGATTAAAATACCTTAGATTACATACTTATATAGTAGTAATGACAGTATAACTAGTTATCTATATAGCCCCTATCTAGCTAATTTGATGAATACATTCTAATGTTTTTCATGTATATGTCCTCTGTCCACAAATTCAGTGAAGTGTATATATATATGTTGACATGTATATAAACTTATTCAATACTTGGTATAATTCAAGGGAATTGTTAATATTTAACAGTTTTGTCCTAAATGAATGTTTATATATTTTTATTATTATAATATTTAACTAACTTATGCCATCTAAATTAATTTTCATCTTTATGTGTGTGTGTGTGTTATTTTTAATTCACTGGATGTTATACAACAACAAGTGTTGAAATAAGCATAAAGCCTGTGGCACTGTGTGGGCACTACTCACACAACCCTCTTGCTTCATTAATATACATGAGTAAAAATTGATGATTAGACATTTTTTGTTTGATTGCATGGAGGATTTCATCGTGAGCTGACATCAGTTAGAGAACCATTGGAAAACCAGCTGGGAGTACTGGACAGCTGTTTCCCCCGTCCTAATTTGGGGCTCTTCGGCAGTACGCACCCACCGCCAGGGGTCAAACCTAGGACCTTCTGATTACAAGGCCAGCGAGCTCGTAGACCATTGAGCCACTGGGACCCGATTCGATGGTCCTTGAATTGTAACTTCTGCCAATTCACGACATAGCACGACCATTTCGCAGTGTCTTCTTCGATGAGTTACTGCCTCATCTTCAACCTGCTGTACCCTACTGGTCACGGCTTCCCACTAGAACCCCAGGTTAACTGTCTGAATAGGGCCAGTCATTTTTTACGAGTTGATCACGGATTGATATCAGTTAGAGAACCATTGAAAACAATCCAGGGAGTACTGGACAGCCAGCTGTTTCCTCCTAGTTTGGGAATCATCAGCCATTGAATCGGGTCCCAGTGGCTGAATGCTATACGAGGTAGCTTGCCTTGTAACCGGAAGGTCTTGGTCCGAATCATAGTGAGTGCGAACTGCCGATGACTCCCAAACGAGGATGAAACCGCTGTCCAGTACTCCCTGGATTGGTTTCAATGGTTCTCTGACTGATATCAATCCGTGATCAAATCGTAAAAACAAAACTATAGAAGATTATACATTTGAATAAAATCAATATTAGATAAAGTAACTTGCTAGAATGTTAAAATGTGAATTGAATACATTTTAACATTATTTATTATCCTCTGATTTCACTGGTGGTAATAATATCTTCCATATCTCTTGTATTTGCTTTGAGTCACTTCTATCGCGTGTGTAGGGTGTAGACTTGATGAACCAGGTAGGATTCAGTAATCAATCCGTCTCTCTCTCTCCATCTACCTTTATTACTTTTTAGAATTTTGACTCCTTTCCACCCACCCTATAGTGTTTTTGTGTGTTCGTGCATGCAGTGCGATTACTGAGCTTTTTTCTAAATTATTTATCTTCGTGGGGTCAATCATTCTAACTTTAGCTAAGTTCTAATGTTCTGATAATCTCACCTAAAAGATAAGATAAAATAGATAGAAGAAGCGTTGATGTAAAATAATTATCCTACAAAATTGATTAGGAATTTCAAAAAAGGTCAAAAGCAAAATAAAAATAATGGTGAAACTAATAATGATAAAATAAATAAGAAACAATATAAGGTATCTATAGTTTTATCATATAAGGAGGGGACATTTGAGTACCCACTCAGTAGGATTCTAAATAAAGAAGGGATCAGGGTGGCATTCGAACCTACAAACTCACCCAGAGACAATCTGTATAGGCTAAAAGACCCTGTTGGTGGACCCAATGAGACAAAATAATATAATTTACAACTAGCTTTCAATGGTTGTGTGTTAAGTCAACTACACAGGTCAGTCAAACTAGTAGATCAGGAGTAGTCAGATTGCCTATCAGAACATAAGAATTTAGTTAAGTTTAGAATGATCGACCCCACGAAGATAAGTAATTTAGAAAAAGACTCAGTAATCGCACTGCATGCACTAACACAAAACGACACATTAGATAGTTGGAGGCAATCGGCAGGAAGCCTTGGACCTAAGTTTCGTGCTAGTTGGCACTCTTCAGCAAGGCGTATCCGCAACCTTGAAGGAACTCATGTCCCTTCTGAGATTCGAACCCGCGTCACCCAGTGCTGCAGTCAGAGACGTTACCACTGAGCTATTCGGGCTCGCGATGACGCGGGTTCGAATCTCAGAAGGGACATGAGTTCCTTCAAGGTTGCGGATACGCCTTGCTGAAGAGTGCCAACTAGCACGAAACCTAGGTCCAAGGCTTCCTGCCGATTGCCTCCAACCATCTCACATCATCACAAACAATGTACACCGTGATGACAAGCTACCTAGAATGGTGGCCACATTACAACCTGACTGATAGAATTCAGTCTGCACCAAAGAGAGGACTAGACGCATCACACTAGTTACTAGTGTCAAATCAAAATACAAAACGACACAATAGGGCGCGTGGAAAGGAGTCAAAATTCTAAAAAGTAATAAAGGTAGATGGAGAGAGAGAGACGGATTGATTACTGAATCCTACCTGGTTCATCAAGTCTACACCCTACACACGCGATAGAAGTGACTCAAAGCAAATACAAGAGATATGGAAGATATTATTACCACCAGTGAAATCAGAGGATAATAAATAATGTTAAAATGTATTCAATTCACATTTTAACATTCTAGCAAGTTACTTTATCTAATATTGATTTTATTCAAATGTATAATCATCAGTTTTTACTCATGTATATAAATGAAGCAAGAAAGTTGTGTTAGTAATGCCTTGATATGATTATGAATGTCAATAAATTGTGCTCGAAACGTGGTCGTATCAGTCAATATATTACTGTACAACATCACTGTGTGATTTTATCAAAATAAAATGTTACCCACATTGTAGAGCAATTGCTTAAATATTATACACAAATCGTTCCTTGTGTTAGTTTGAACAAGGAAAGGATGAAGATATTTTTGCAGGATAAGATGAGCTTTGATTGGTCACTAGTAACTAGTGTGACGTGCCTAGTGCAATCTTTGGTGCAGACTGAATTCTATCAGTCAGTCAGGTTTGCAATATGGCCACCAGTGCCACCACCAACCTGACTGGTAGAACTCAGTCTGCACCAGAGAAAGAATTAGACGCACCACATTAGTTACTGGTGTCCACTCAATATATCCAATACAGTCCTAAAGGACGTCAATTGCGAGCCCGAATTGCTGAGTGGTAACGTCTCTGACTGCACCACGTCATTGGGTGACGTGCGTTTCAATCTCAGAAGGAACGTGAGTTCCTTTAAGGCTGAGATACGCATTGCTGAGTAATGAGTGCCAACTAGCACGAAACCTAGGTCAAGCAAGGCTTCCTACCTATTGACTCCAACCATCTAACATCATAAGATGAGCTTGTTTCATTTCGTGGATTCTTGTAAAATGCGCACAACCTTAAACAGTATGAAATATTATTGATTACAAAACACATCTTAACATACTTTTATCACAGTGAAGTCGAGTTGGAATTAGTTAAGCGCCAAAGAATGAGGATGTCCAAGGCAAGGTATGAAAAGCTTGACCGGCGTTCAATACTCTGAAGTCAGTGTGGAAGTCCACTGCAATCAGAATAAAGAATACGATTCAAGTTTTGAACAGTCATGTCAAAGCAATGCTTCTACAGGCCTCAGAGACTTGCCATAACAAACAGTTAGTTCTGTCAATAGTATCTATCTCATTATGTTTCTTATCCAAACTTCCGTTTTCTTCGCATTTACAATAACTGTTCACATTACTTTGTGTCTTTCAATCCTGTTTATTTTGTTATTAAAATATTTCAATCCCTATTTGTAATCTTTTTAGTTTGACACTCGATCGGAAACGGTTCTGGGAATTTCTCACCCGTTTAATGTATATACACGAATGTGCACCCTAGTTGATGACTTCATTGTAAAGAAAATTTTCTTCTGTACAACCGTCTTTTTAAAATTAATGAATTTGTGTTATAATGACCGTACGTCTAACGGAATGACTGTTTATTAGCCTGTCAGTATGAAATTTACTCAGGCATAGAAGCGTTCAAATACTTCAGCACAATGAAATGTCACTTGCTAAATGTATGTGTTAAACTAATACTTGACTGCTGTATGAAACTGCATGTACACCGTCATATAAAAGTTAGAAAATTTTCCAGAATCATCCAAGTTACTTAAAATAAAATAAGTAATAGAAGAGTGATTTGTGGACTGCAGTCAGTGATCATTCTGATAATCAATATTTAATAACAAAATACAGAGTCAGATGTTTGTATACAAAGAAAATGACTTCTGAGAACTTGAAATTATGCCCAATACAAAGATTAAATTTTGAATTAACACTCGTGATCAATGGGGTTAATCAAGTTGGGTGTTTCGAGAGGTACTCGCAGATGACACTGGCTGTCAGTGGCACGATATATTACAAACCGGAAGAAGTTAGAATTCGTAGGCCATTAGATTCCTTCTTATTTACTGTCTTATTAAAGAACTCACCTCTTAACATCAAGGAATTCGGTTTGGTCGTCTGTGAGTTGTGTACTGAATTTTCCAAAACTAAGATGAAGAAGCTGTTCAATAACTCATCGTTTTCTTTAACAGATATTATACCTTAATCTAAATTCACAGGTGACTACATACCTTGATATGCACTTAAATACTACAACTGCTTCTCTTTTGCAATTTACACTACGTGAAATTCCTGATATTCATTCCCGCATGATAAAGTTTCAAATTTCCTTCCGTCGATTCTGTTGTTATGATGAATGCAGTCGGATTTGTGTCATAGATATTCACCGCCTTATTATTGATGTTTCACTTCCCATGAAACTCCAGATAAACATATTTCAGAGCATATGTTGAAAACAAGGTGTTTTACACCAACCACTTAGTTTCAGGTGTTTTGTTCTTGACATTTTGAATTTAAACATTACATGAGCCTATTTTGATTAGTAAAAGTTAGAGAGTCATTGAAAACCAGGGAGTACTCGACAGCTGTTTCGTCCTAGTTTGGGGCTCTTCACGGTACGCACTCACCGGGCTTAGAATCCAGGACCTTCAGATTACAAGGCAAGCTGGTATACCATTTGGCCACTGGGACCCAATTTAATGGCCCATGAGTTCTAACTTCTACCAA